GTTAACAACAACAATGACATAGGATCGCAATGAATAAACTAAAGATTGTCACTAATTTGAATTTGGCAATTGACGCAACTTTTAGGGGCAGTTAATGCTAGTAACAACAATGACATAGGATCACGATGAAGATTTTTTTTTTTTGTAATTGGATTTCATGATTTGGATGAGGTTATTGTTGTAGGATTCAATTTGGTTTCAATGGAGTTCTTGTTGGCGAGGAAGTTGAATATAACGTTGATGACAAGAGGAGTTGAAGACAATGTCGATGAATGAATTGTGCAATCCTAATGTTTGATGTGCATGTTGTTTTTGGAAATATTGATAAGCAAAAGGGAAGTCTCTGATTTGTGTGCTCGTGACTGGGTTGAAGATAAGACATGTGTTTATGAAGTGAACAAGAATAAGGTTACAAAGTGGATTAGATTCTTAAGAGTTTGGTTCAATGCTTTTAATCTCGCTGTTGAAGAAGATGGAACCATGGACCACTATCGCACGATGGTTAACAATCGTGTGTAGTGGTCTGTAACATGTGAAGTATTCAGTGGGAATAGGTGCCCAGGAATAAAAAAAGAAGATGTTGATAGGATATGGAGTGTGCATCGTAATTATGTGATTCCATATTGATCTAATGACTATCAATTTTAGTACATGACGGATCACCTATGTCACTAACTCATTGGTCCACCTTAAATTTCATCCCATTTTCCAAACCATTTTTGTAAAATCTAGTATGAAACTAATACTTACAAAATAAATTTTATATATTTTTAAATGTATATATTTTTTCATCTTTATCGTTATACTTTTTTTTATTTAACTTAGTGAAAAAGAGATTGTTCAAGTATTTATGTATTTTATTAAAATAATTTAAATAAAAAATATGGATTAAATAATAATGAAATATATGCAATTAAATGATGTTAGATTATCAACAATGGTACTTAATATCTCATATTTAAGTAATTGTGCCTTTTTTTTCATTAGAGTGGGCTTAAGTGACATAAGTGTATCTTAAATTTAAATTCTATATCTTGTATAAGATATGGTAGTTGATGAATAAAAAAATATTTTTACACCATCAAATTAAGAAAAGAGCAAAAAAATAATAAATCATATATAAAAAATTATTTAATAAGCATTGCTTGAAATTTTATCATTAAAGTAAAAATGCAATGATTTGCACTTACTTATGAAATGCTTAAATATAATGTGAGAATAGAAATTCCAATAAAGTAAAATAAGAAAAATAGTTTGTTAATGCTCTCAGTGATTTGGGGGTAATTATAAAAATAAAATTAGATAAAAATGACTTATGACCTTTTTGATTCAAAGGATATAAGAAGAGAAATTTTAATGGAAGAAAGGAGAGAAAAAAAGAAGGAATTAAACATTATGTTTAGTTAGGAAATAAAAGATTTTAATAGAAGAAAAAATAAGAGGTGAATTTTAAAAACTAATAATAAACCTTTATACGCTTATAATTTTATTTTACAAAACATGATTCAGATATTGTAGACATTACACTCAAAATATTTTTAATCTCTCTCTTCCGAATCTTCAAATATTGGAGGGAAGCTAACAACATTAAATAAGATGTTCTGCTCATTTCCATTCAATATTCATCTCTTAAAAACAACTAAAATTTAGAATCCCTCCCCCTTCCAACCAAATGCAGTATGAAACACTATCACGTATTCCTCTTTATATTGTACTTGGGAAAAAAGAGACACTCCATACCATGTTATTAAAAAATAAAAATGTTAAAAATGAAAGTATACAAACAACTGTCCTATAATATTGGATATTTGTTTATATTAATTAGAGAGTAAAAGACTCTTTAAAATTGTGGATACTAAAATAAAATATCACTTTTATAATAGCAAGGAGGTTCATCAAAATATATGTTATAGGTTTATATTAGTTAGAGGGTAAAATAATTCATAAAATTGTGGACATCAAAACATGATATTGCATAATTAACATTTATAATTATTAGGGGGAAAAACTCTTCATATCTTTCTATTTAAAAATAAATAATAAAGATAATGATCAAATATTTCCGGGTGAAAGGTTTGGAAACTAAATATCACATTCAAGTAAAAAAATAAATAAATAAATAAATAAAATAAAATGAAAGAGAAACTGAATTAGAGATACTTATAGAAATAAATTACTCTAAAATTATTAAATATCGAAAAATAATATCTCTTTTATTAATCATATATATTTTTTGATAAAAATAGAAAAGATTACAAAAATGGTCATAATGAGGATTGAACCTAAGTCTTTATACTTCTAACTATCTTAACCCCTCTCCACTTAATCACTAGACTAATCCTAGTAATCTTTTATTAATCATATACATATATATTATATATTTTTTTGTCAAATTATCTATATCTTTTAGTCCATTGGATTTGAGATAAACTAATCCCATCGTTCTACCAGCATGATGAATTTTTGCATACAATGGGATCAAATACAATTTATTCACTAAGAATCCATTTGGTGTTCAGGACACCATCAAATAATATAATTATCCTATCCAATTATAATTTATTATTTATTACATCAACAAAATATATTAGTTTTATTCATACCCTTATCTTATCTACTTGATTAATTTAGTGTATTTCTTATCATGAAACGGAAATTGAATTAAAAAATAACATGATAGAGAACAATAAACTTTCTTCTTGATCTTTCATTTCTATATACATTATTATGTCATAATATTATATTATACAAAATAACATGATTAATATAATAAATATAACATATATAATATTAAATATTAATTTATAATACATATAACTATATATATATATATTATTAATTTATATACTGATGTACAATATTATATTATATTTAATGATATATATACATTACGATACATATATGGTATTTTAATATGTGCATTCAATATTTTATCTTATTTATAATTATACTTTGACATATAAATTTACAACTTAGTATTAATTAAAATATAAATTAAAAATGATTATTTAGGTACTTTTAAATAAAATATTTTAATAATAATTATAATTTAAAAAGAATTATCTATATTTTATATCTATACTATATGTATTTATACCATATACAAAGGGATATCTCGTTTAATTTTTATATTTTTAGACATTTATATCCTTTAGTATATATATATTTTTTATTATATCTCTTAAGTCTTAAGGTAAAATAGAAAAAATAATATGTATATAAAAATTTAATTGTTCATCCTATTAACAATAACTATTAACTTATTATGTAATCACCTTTGATCTTTATTTTTGTTTAAAGTTACTTTATTATTTTTTAATTATATATTATTTCACTTAAGTAATTTATAATTATTTATAATTTTATTTTGTATTATTTTTAAACAAAATTTACGATCTCAATAATCTATACTAATATATAAAGGAATATCTTTTTTAGTAACTATCTTGATCTTCATAATTTTTGGACCATTATATCCTTCTATTTTAAAAAAATTATAATTTTTTTATTATCAAATTTAAGAACTTAAAACTAATAGATTAATCATAATACCAATTAGATTAATATACTTTTATTATTTAATTTTTATTTTATTTTATATGCACCATTTTATCTTTTATTTATTTTTTAATAATATTTTTTTATGAGTAACTTCTCATTTTTTTTAATATATTGCAGGCACGAAGTGTCTTTTTTGTACTAGTATATATAAAGATATTTTTATTTGGTTTCTACATTTTTTAGATATTTATTATATATATATATATATATATATTTATCGTTATCACATCTCATATGGTAAAATAGGAGAAAAAAAATGCTATATACAAGATACTTGATGTGTAAGTACTTTTAGTCTCTACTTTTTTTTTAGACCATTATATCCCTAGATCTATTTTAAATAATTAAATCTCCAAATATAATTCACACTATTATGTAATTTCTTTATTTTATTTTTTACCTATAATATATCTATATCTATACTATGTGTAAAGGAATACCCCCTTTAATTTCCATATTTTTTAGACATTTATACCCCTTTATTAAATATTTTTTTTCCACCATCATATCTCTTAAGAATAAAATAGAAGAAAAAAATGTATAAAAAATTATTTATCCTCTTCTATATTCTATATCTATACCTATTATAAAGGAGATACATTTTAATAATCACCATTTTGGTCTCCACTTTTTAGTGAACCTTTATATCTATTGAATGTAATAAAAAAAATTTCTTATATCTTCTACAACTTATAATATTTATCTGTGTGTAAGTATTAGAGACACATAGTGCTTTAATCCTCTACTTATACATAAAGGGGATACTCCCACTTGATTTTCACAATTTTTTTTAAAAATATTTATACATATTTATTATATATTATTTTTTCCCACCATCATATCTCTTGAGATAAAATAAAAAAAATGTATAAAAAATTAATTATTCACTTTATCGATAATAACTACCATCTTATTTTATAGCCATCTTTGATTTCTAATTTTGCTAAAAATCATTTTTTTTATTTTTTAATTATATATTATCTCATTTGATTTATATTCTAAAACTTCTATTATTATTTTATTTTATATTATTTTTAAATAAAATACATAGAGACCACTAATATAATTTTAAGGAAAATAATTTACATAAATAAGCATATTTTTGTATAATATAGTTAAAATTATATTTTTCAAAATTTAATTTTTGAAAGATTGTTAAAGTTAAATTATGACTTATTTTTTAATTAATGAAATAATTTTTTAATTATTTGAATATAATTTATATTAAAAATAAAATATATAATATAATAATATTACCTAATTTATTATTATCATAATATACATTAAATATTAGATAGAATTAAAATTTATTACATTTTTATCTATTCTTTCTTATTTTTTCCATCTTATCATATCCTACTCTATACAGTTACACGTATATAGATAGAAAATCAACATATTTTAGGAATACAAATGGTCAACTTTCGGATTTTGTTCATTTATTTTTTATCATTCTCTTATGTCTTTTGTGCAAACAAATTATAGAGTTTGCTAGAAGGAGGAGTTTGGCGGAGTTTAAACTTCCAGAGCTAAATTTAGAGCTTCTCTCTGCAACACAATTCAATTTCATCTCCCATTCGATTCTCAATTTCTCGAATTCTCTCATAAAACGAAGAGACCATGAAATCTGGCAGAGAGAGCGATCGCAGCTTCAGTTCGCATATGCAGACCCTACATCGCCGTCTTCTCCACGCCTTAAACCTCGGCACCAGGTCTCAACTCGCACCCCCACTGTCTTCTAATTTCTTATTCCGCCATTTTTTCCTTAAATTTTCTATCTTGTTGGCTTTTCACAAACTGGGCAAACTGCTACACATCATTTAAACTTGGGGGGCTCAAAGTGATTGATTGAACTGTGTTTTCATTTAGTGAATTGTTGTTGTGATTCTTAGTGAATATTTTTTTGCAGACATTTTGACGAGAAGACAAATAAATGGAAGTGGCAGTGCGCCAACATTGAAGTGCAGAAAAATGTGCTACGATCGATTAGTGCGATTCTTGATTCCTCATCGGGAGATGCACGTGCAGCACGTCATGCTATTGTTAAGGTGCATTGTTTACTTAACTTTTTGTTTTTTTTTGGGCAGTGTGTTAAGTATAGTTAACGGTATATGTGAACCACCTATGAATTTGCTTGAGCCAATTGTACTTAAAATACTTAGGAAGTTAGGATTAAGTTACATCAGCGAAATAATTACAAGGAGTTAATTACAAATACAATAAGAGTTAATTAGAGTTTAATTTCTATGCACTGTCAAATGTAGAAAGAATGTTACACTGACACTACATAGCGTAGTTACTCATAAATAAATTAAGAAAGCATTTCCTTAGGGTCCATTTGATGTGAGAAAACATATTCTATTTTCACATATTTTCTTGTCTCTAAAGTACAAGAAAAAGTGAAAATGGAGAACAATAATAAGACGTTTTTATTGATTTCCAATACAAACTTTTGAAAATGGGAAACAAAGTGAAAGCAGAAAATAAAAACAAAATACAATTTCTCAAATCAAACAAATACTTTTTGAAACTAGTTACTGATGTAATACTTTGTGAATTATGAGACACACACATAAATAAATATAATATATATATATATATATATATATATATATATATTTATAT